AATGATAGATTTTTTGATAAATTTGTACTACTATTCATAATTATATTGTATTAAAAAATATTTTGCGAAATAATATGTAATTATTTTATTTGATATTTTATAATAAATTTTTACCGGGTTAGAGAATAAATTTTAGATTTATAAAACATGAAAATAAACTTGTATTTAAAAAAAAATGTTTAAAAATTAAATATATCTTATTTTTTATAATTTAAATTAAATATTAAGTAATATGTATTAATTACAATTATAATTATCATTTTACTCCATTTAAATTCACTAAATTAAAAAAAAATTAAATTTAAATGCAAGTCTATGCCCAATATTTTAATAATTTAAAATGATTTAAAACTTAATTTAATATTAATTATAAAATTATTAATTAATTAGTTAAACAATTAAATTAGTTAATTATTATTAATTTAATTTAAATCTATAATGTTAAAGTTTATTTGTATAAGCTTGATTATGCATGTACTGTACGTTTTATAATTATTGTTAGAAATAGAAACTTAAAATATATTATTATTTATTAATTAGTTGATTAAACATTTAACTTATATATGGTGATTTTTAATTACAATTACAATTAATTTTTTCATTACAGTTTAGAGAAACCGTAAAAATTATCTCACGATATCGTTTATCGTTATATTAAACTTGAAGTATATTGGAGATAAAATATCATCGACAACACGAAAATTAGTGAAAGGATAATGTAAAATTGGAAAATTTAAGCACTTGAATAATAGAACACAAAAGGAGAGGAAAAAAAAGAAGAGAAATGGAAATTATTTTTAATTGCACAAACAAAATAAAATGTGAAATGTGAGGAATTATTATTATAATTTTTTTTTGAAGAATTGTTTAGAAGGAAAAGTGTTTATTGTGTGAAATCTCAAATCTGAATTGTTAAAAGTAACACGTGTTAACGATGACATCATAAAAAGTATTTGGCCAACGGGAGTTTATTGCGGAACAAGTGGACAAGTTTGTCATAACTTCAGGTGAACGCACAGGTAAGCCGGTATATTTCTTTATGATTCTTCCTACTTTAATCTTCTGCACGTATTTTTCATTAAAATCCGTTATATAATATAAATAATGTTCACATATTTCGAATTTTCAGGTATAATTTTATTTATAAAACTATAATGAATTATTATATAGGCCTACACAGAAGAAAATATAATAATTTTTATTTACTATAATGTATATGTTTTTTTTTTCTTTTCCTGAGCAAATGTCTTTTTATTTCTTAAAAGCATAAATTGATGATATTAAAATTAGGAAAATTATATTTATTTAAAATTTTTGCTCATATATTTAGTAATAAATCACTTTATAATTAATATTTTAAAGTAAATAATTTTGATATTAAAATTTATTATAAATACTATAATATTTGAAAAACATTTTTTAAACCAGGCTTTTTAGATTTTATATTTTGAATTTATGAATTTATTTATCGTTCGGTTATTTATCGGATAAAATATATTAAGTCAAGTACATAAAATTACCCATTCGATCAAAACTTAATTTAGTTTATACGCTATATCCGGCAATCATCCCATTCTTCTTCTAGGACAGAATTAGGATGCATATCGAAGATCAAGGAAAAATACAAACATATATGCTACAGATCTACCTACAGGCTTGAACCCACAGCTTTTATCTGTTTCTGGATTATTTATGGTTATATTATCGGCTTTGTACTTTGCATAAACAATCTTATATATTTAAAAGTCATTATTTATTTTTATTGTATAATTTCGATATATTTTTGCTTTGCTTTTTATCGTAATTTGTTTATATTGCGATAAATAGAATCTAAAGCAATATAATTATCAGAAGAAAGAAAAAATAATAATGATTTGAATATATNCACGATACTATCGGTAGTGTGGGCGCTGCCATCTTTCTTTCACCGTCTTTCCTAAATGCCTACAAACAGCAGCGCACTCCCGTTGCAGAGTGACCGCTATTAACGAATGAATCCACAAACTGTTACCAGTTGATGATGCTCATGCTGAGATCATTATATAGAATGAATAATTCTCTGGTAAAATATTTACTTAAATAATAAATAAGTATTTTTTTTTACCTATGAAAAAGTGAATAATAAATCCGATTTAAATAAGAATTTAACAACATGTTTTTTAATTTTTTGGAACCTAACCTCCCTTTTCGCACTAGTTCTTTGTTTCGTATAACATGGATTCGCATAACATGGCAATTTTTTGGAACATAACTCTTGTGTTATACAGGGGTTACCTGTATTTATACACAAATAGGATGTTTCAGAAATGTCTTGTCAAATTAAAAATATGAGGACTTTTTTATCCAAAGCTTAATTAGGAAGCTAAGTATCAAAGTATAATTTACTGTTTGTTTATTGTATAGGTGAGGGATAGCAGGCCAAATGCATCTTGGTCTAAAAGGTCCATTGTGCAGATTACTTCAGAAGTCTAATCTCTTTTGAAAAAAAAAAAAACTTTCTGTTCAATTCAATATCATCTTTACTTATTAACCACAGCATCCCAGAAGTGTGTGGAAGCAATGAAGTCTAACAAAAGGAAGACTGTAATATCAATGATTCAAATGAAAAAGAAACTTATCACAAAACATGAAAGAAGTACACAAGTAGATCTGGTGGCCTTGTTTAAGATGCCATAGTCAACAGTGTGCAATCAGTAGCCTAAATGCAATTTTCATTATACAGTATTTACATATTCTATTTATTGTTTTTGTGTTTTCATTTGTTATTACAGCATTTAATTGTATTATTTTATTATTTGTATTATTTACCTTAAACTATGTGTATTTGCTGTTCTAAGTTTATCAAATTAAGTATTGTTGAGGGTCTTGGAATGGAATAATTCACTTTCCATTATTTCTATAGGAAAAATTGCTTCAAACTTTGAATGATTCAGAGTTCAAACAGCTTCCCGAATGAAAGTATAAAGCACCACTATATTTGTAATTGCCAAGTTGTTTGAAAAGCTGAATCTGATGCCATTTTACACTCTCTATTCCTAAATCTACTCTATGAAGACTCTCANATTGTAAATCTTTTAAATTTAAAATGAAACATATTCGAAAAACGATGTGTTCCATTTTGGAATGGTAATCGTAAGCCTGAAGATGGCATATAGTAAGTAGGTTGAAAACAGAGAAATAAAATGATTTATGCTCAGCAAAAAATTCAGGTGTGTTGATATAATTAGCTGTAGTTGTTGAGAAAGAGGTGGATAGTTAGAGCAACTTTGTTTAAAACTTCAAGAAAAGCATCCTGAACTTGTTAACAGAAAAATAAATCACCTTATTGTGTGACAATGGAAGACTGCACACATCAAAGATTATACAAGAAAAAATCTTTGAGTTTGGCTGATCTGTTTTGCCTCATCCAGCATAATCACTGGATCTGGCACCAACAGATTTTCATCTTTTCTAGGCACTGCAGAATACTTTACAAGGTCAACACTTCCAAAGTGATGACCAGGTTCAGGAATTTTGTCCAGTACTTTTTTTTATAATTGAAGTTTAGACTATTTACAAAAATATAAAATTTTTGAGTCTATCTTAGTCCTTTTTTTTATACAACCCCAGAAGTAACAGTTAACATGGTTTTTTGAAGAATACTTCTTAAAACAAAAGTAAACAATAAGTAAAAAAAGAAGTTCACAATGTTAAAAACGATCAAGTGTCAGCCTTCTGTTATAGGTTCTGTATCCATATGCAAATGAAGTAGGATAACTCATAACTACCACCAGAGGGCCTGAAGCAGTTAAAAAAATGGATAAGGACAATGTGGTGAGAAGAATTCTTTGTGTTTTTAATGTAAAAGTGTCAGAACCTATAACAGAAGGCTGACACTTGATCGTTTTTAACATTGTGAACTTCTTTTTTTTCTTATTGTTTACCTTTGTTTTAAGAAGTATTCTTCAAAAAACCATGTTAACTGTTACTTCTGGGGTTGTATTAAAAAAAAGGATTAAGATAGACTCGAAAATTTGATATCTTTGTAAATAGTCTAAACTTCAATTATGAAGAAATATATCCTGAGTAATTACAGAAATTGTATCCATAGTTTTTTTTAATTCAAAACTACCAAAATTTTACACAAAGGCAATTGACAGGTTGCCCAAAAAATGGCAAGAAATCATCAATAATGACTGTGAATATGTATTAATCTAATACATAAGTACAACAAATAAACTTTAATCTAAAGTCTATTGTTGTACATTTTATTGGCAATAAATTTGTTTAGAAAAACGAACTTATTTATGACTCAACCAATATATGAAACAAATAACTACTCACCACACCAAATTAATGATAATGATCCATGCAGAACCAAATTATGGTGTGATACCAAAAATATTGAAAACAAATGAATGTTTTCAAACTCCTTCTGGACTTTGCATCAGGTTCTTAACCATTCCTAGATGGATATTTGATTATGAAATGACATTTAAATAAGAGTTTGATTATAAGTTCAAAAATTTACAAAAACCATGTTGCACATATTCAACGAGTCAGCCTGCCCAGACACAATGAGCAGCTAGAGCAAGTTGTGAATCAACTTCTGCCAGGCCAACAACAAAACCATCTCCTCTTTAAAATTTATGCATGAAGCTGCAATGCTGGATTTAAAAATGTGCATAGCCTCTAACTATTTGAGGTGTTCAGTGGGAGGCGCAGTAGTTTTTTGTAAATTTTTTTGAACTTATAATCAAACTCTTATTTAAATGTCATTCCATAATCAAATATTCATCTAGGAATGGTTAAGAACCTGATGCAGAGCCCAGAAGGGGTTTGAAAACATTCATTTGTTTTCAACATTTTTTTGTATCACATTGTAATTTGATTCCGAGTGTGTCATTATCAATATATGAAACATTCATAAAAATAAGCATTTTGTTGCTTATACCAAATTACTTATAAATAACATTTATATTATAAAATATTTTATATATATTCATTTTAATTCAACTTACTGGTTCTGCTTTTTCCATTTCACTTCTATTAAAAAAAAGTTATATTAAATATAACAATATAATTAATTCAAACAAATTATCATGTTAATATTCCATACAATTATAAAAGTAATTCTCAATAAGCAAGATTCTTATTCAGTAATAATGTTATTTGATTTTAGCTTTAATATTTTTGAATAAATTGTTCCATGTTCTTATCTTACTATTAATCACATCTTGTTTATGTATGCATAAATTTATTTCATTGTATTTTACAGAAATACAGTGGGTGATCAGTTAACAAACAATCCATTCCAAGACTTTGTTTGTTATCTGAATTGTTTGTTAACCGATTATCGATTTACCATAGGTTTTTATGGGAATTTGATTAATTCATTTCGGAGACTCCAAAAAATAAAAAATATATACTTTTTTACTATGTTTATTTATATGTAATAGTAAAAATACATATATATGCAGTCTTGCATTTTTATTAGTCATGTTTTTTCCGTTTGTGGGGGTTAAAGAATCTGTCCAATGTCGATTGCTTTTCTCTTTTCTTCAGGATTTTTCGGAAGTAATTAATGGTATTGTAATTGTAGAGATCTCCAACCCCATTAGCTTTATTCTGGTTTGGATATCACTTGGATGATCATTGTTCTGACATCCCTGGAGTTCTTATGGCATCAGATCAGTTTCAGGTTCCATTATGAGCTTTAAAATGCTCTTTATTTCTCGGATGTGATTTTCATTACTCCATTAGCATCTTGAGACTTCATGATATATCTTTCATAGCTAAGATTGTGCTTACTGTAGACCTGTTCAAGCCGTACTGCCTAGCAACATCAGACATCTTGTGCCCACTTTCTACCTTGGCTATTATCTCTTGCTTGGTTTCTATGGTGAGCACAGTTCTTGACACTCCTCTTTTTAGGCTCCATAATATTATCAGTTTCTTTTTTAAATGAAAAGTTCAGAAAAGCAATTACAAAAATTCAGAGAACAGAAATCAACTAGTCCACAAAAAATTATTTAAATTGCAAGGCCCAGATGAAATTCTATTAAATTTGGTATTAAAACGTTAACAAATATCCAATGGGACAGTTAAACTTTCACCTTTCATAAATAAACCCTGACGCAAAACTTAACAAGTGCCCGCCTGACAGTCTCGTGAATACTATAAAAATTATTTGTCAGAAACATAAACAAAAAGCTGGAATTACAAGGGAGAGTTTCAAAATTCTGAGGGATACTATCTGATCAGTATTGGGTTGAGCAATGATGTTAATAACTCCCGTGCTCCGAAAGGTTTCGAATTGTTACCTGAAGACAAAAGAAGACCAATCGATATTCGTTATTTTCTGTCGCTTCTTTTTATGTTTGTTCAGTAAAGTGTTCGTTGTCCGATCATAAAAATCTTACGCAAAAGTGTTTGCTATCTGAACTGTTCGTTAACCGATCACCCACTGTATTTACACAAGTTAAAAAATCTCTCTCAAATTATTAATAATTCTTAGTAGAGCAATCTGTAACAAAACAATTTAGAGATGTATTTCAAGAGAAAGAAGTTATATTTCAAAAAAACATTAATGAGATTTTTTTAAAACACTTCTAAAATATTAACACATCATTAGGTTTTATGTCAGAGGCAATAAACTTAACAGTATTCAAGTGAAAAGATACCAATAATGACACCACAGCTAATTTTAGCCAGTTGCACAGCATTATTTAGATCACATGTTCTTAATAATAAAATTGTTTTATTAATTTACTATTTCTAAAGTAGAAATAAGTGAACATAAAGTTAAATGTGTCATAATTTTGATGGTGGATTGGTCTGTAGGCAGTGGCATTACAGATTTCTTTGTTAAAATAAACTTTTGTGTTCATTTGAAAAAAAAAATTTGTGGGTATTTGCAAATTTTTCTATAAAATATGATTAAACAAGTTTGTAGGAAAGTATATAAATAAAAAAAAAAAGATAAATTTCCTGGAAAAAATTGAAAGAAAAGAAGATTAAAATTCAATGACCCTGCAAATCCAAATTGTGCCTACAAAAGACCTACACAAATGCAACTGTGTCAGAAACAAACAAACTTATGAACATACAAATAAATAAAATGAGAATCTTTGTATGTATGACTACAAATTTAAATTAATAATTTTAATAAATTAAAAATCATCTCCTTCAATTATAAATAAAACTATGATAGTTTTTATTTATAATTGTGAATAAAAAGATGATTTTATATAACCTATACCATTTACATTATACAGTCATGAGATAAATGATCAAATATATTTTATTGGAGAATATCCAATTATCTCTCTTATCTTCATTAATTAACTAACATTTGAATATCATTATAAAGCCACTATAGAGATTACAATTATACTAACATATCTGAAATATTATAATAGAAGGTTTCACATATTACATCAGAAAAATACTATGTTGAATTACATGACATTTTAGTAAAATAATGCAGACAATACTTAGATGTTTATTTTTTAATCTAATCATAAGCATATCTAATTCATCATTAATATATTGCTTGAATCTTAAGTTCAGCTGATTTCCAATAATATAAATTTTTTTAAAATTCATAAAAGTAATTGAAGAAACACAAAAAGTCTTCATTTTTCAATTATGTCACACTTCAAGAATAAAACAGTCATATGGTAAACTCAACCTTTGGTTGTAGTCTCTTCTCCATTTCAATATGTAAAACATAAAATAATATAAACATATAAAACAAAGTGTGACATGAGCAAAACATAAAGACTTTTTATATTTTTTTCAATTACTTTTGGGAATTTTTAAAATATAATTGTTATCCTTTTTATTTTATTAATGTTAATAATTTATTTTATTTTACAATCAGATAGTGCCCCAAAGCATCTACAACCTTCTAAGTAATACAATAAATACCCTGATAAAAATAAAAATTACAAATATCTGAATCTGTATCACACAATTTGTTTTGATCTAAAACGTTTCAATAAATTTGTCCTTTTAACATCTCAATTTTTTCCTGTTTTTGGCTGCTCTTTCTGACCTGTGCACACTAACAGGGCCAGAATGTTAGTAAAAATAATGTTTTTCTCTGCACTAATTATGATAGTAAAGTACACATGCTCCTTGAGTATGTGAACAAAGACTCTAAGTGAACCCCTACAATGGCAACATAGATATTTTACTGTTAAAATTAGTTTGATTTACAATTTTATTATAAGAACTTAACAGAAAATATGGTATTCAGCTTTTGAAATTAATTTGACTGCAAGAGCAGAAATTCAAAAAGTAAACTGAATCAAAGAAAATTTGTTGTGTCTATTAAAAGATCAAGAAATCAACCACAATGCATTACATTTGTCTGTGTCTGTGATTAAGTTAATACTATTTTTATACTAAACAATAAAAATTGTTTGTTACAGAGGGCATATACATACTGTATAAGTACAGACATCACTGGCAAGAACAACTTTATTCTATCACCATTGTTGTAAGTTTTAAAATACTGAATTTGAAAGAGATAATAATCCCTTTCAAATTCAGTATTTAAAATTCAGTATAGAAAGAGATTATTATATCTTTCAAATAGAACAAATTTTCCTTGTTCTTGCTTAGTAGCCTCAATAGTAGAAATGAGTCATAATGAAACAATACAGTATTAAATTCTTGAAATATGCTAAAATGGTCACAGAATCAAGTAGTTCTCAGCCAGTAAGTTATATGTACCTATATATAACATAAACTGCATAAAATTATATAAAATAATAAAAGTGACCATAATCAATAAAAAAAGGCAATAAAACATTGAGCTCTTTATAAAAATATTTTTTACAGGTGAGTTTATAATGTTTAAAATAAGAAAAAACATTTTTATAGAATTAAGTTGACTGATATTTAGGATTTAAAAAAAAATCTACAAGTAAAGAAAATGATATACTTTTCAGTTAATTAAAAAAAAAATGAATAAATATTCTTACGTGTCATTTGCAGTATCTGTTGATTCAGTTTTACTCAAATTTTTCTTTTTCTTCTTTTCTTTTTTCTTCTCTCTTTTGCTTTTCAGAAACCCTATCATCATTACCATAAAATGTAATTAAAAATTAAATTAAGAAAAAAAACTACTACTACTGCTGCTAATGAATATATTGTAGAATAAAACGGATTCCATGTTGTTACTAGCAATAATTTCATTTTTTAAATGTAAAAAACTTTTTTGTGATAAATTAAGATATACTAATCTGTTTCAAATATTCCTGCTTAAAACAATTCCTGTTATATATTTCTTATAATCCATTCAATAAGGAAATATTGAAATGTAAAATTTCTATTCAATTTGTCTATAATTTGTTGTTAATAATCTCAGTAATCGAATTAAGTTTTGCCAGCATTACTCTCCCTGTCTACATTAAAACTAGCAAAATTTTTAAGAAATACTTTTTAAAGGATGCAATTTCAAAAAAGAGATATTAGAATTATTTAAAAATTGAAGCTTTAATTGAGAGCAAATTGTGGATTTATTTTATATCAATACTCTAAACCATAACTAGGAAGAAATCTCTCTCTCTGAAATTCAAAGCTTGTTAGTTTTGGCATATTTGAACACTTTAATATATATTTTGAGATACAAGAATACTATAAACAAATTTTAGTAGTTTATAAAAAATTTTTTACATATGTTCATTTGAAATATAAAAATGAATGTATGTGTGTGTGTCTGTCCTTTATGCATTACCACACCGTTTATCCGATTGTTGTGAAACTTTGGGAAGTTGTTTAATATACTCCGGCGCAGGTTTGTGGCCATAGTACGATTGCCACAAAGCTTTGGGAAGTTTTTTAATACACTCCCGCGAAGTTTTCTGGCATTTACCCTATGATAAATGGCGCACGTTTACACAAGCATTCACACACAGTGTGTTTGATCAATTTCAAATTGTGAAGACCATTTCCTCTCCTTCAAAAAATATCTCTATATATGCATTTGTGAACTGTTATTTACGATATTTGTAATAATTTTTGTTTAATCACTTTATTTCAACTTTCTTTTT